CGATTAGAATGCCGGCGTCAATTATTCGCAGGCAGAGTGTGTTCGATCTGGAGCTCTCTCCCAACCCATGTGAGCCAAGCATTGGGTCTTTAAAACTGAGACTTGATGAAACATTAGCACATCTTACATTCCAACATAAATGGAGCTGCATGCATCAGTGGAAGAAGTCCGTATCATGCGACATTTTACACAATGAATTGTATGCATCACTGTCGTTTAATCACAACACGAACCAATGGGACGAGAAAAGCATGAGCTCGTAAGCTGTTTCCATAATAAATCTTTGATCTTTGATCTTTGCTTTAGCCTGGATTGAATATTTCCGACAAAATGTAGACTGAAATAGCCTTTTGAATATTGGATTACGTAAGAAGATCCTGACGACTGCGGAACCCACAGCAGTCACAGGCATGAAGTCAAAGTTGTACAATTAACGTAATCCGATTCAAGCATTGCTGTTATTATGGCTATAGGTGGGAACACCCTATATTGTTATGCGACAGCTTTGTCGTTCTCCCATCCACTCCCCATTTACTGTCTTTTTCTCACAACTTCACACGTCTTCTATTCAATCGTGATCCCATATCTTGTTGTCAACTGGGCATTGTGTCCACATACGTATATGCATTTTTTCAAGCATCTGCTTAAGCCTTGTCCCAATCTGTTGACCAACTGAACTATGAATGTAAACGTCTGAAAAGATATACAGCAAAAAGAAGTCTCTTCACGTTTCCACTGTGTTCTGTTGAATAATGGTTTATTAACATTTATATTTCTACTGATAACCAGTGAAAGTTATACGCAGATTTGTAGCCAGGTGTTGTTTTGGAAGGGTATCATGGTTCAGGTTTTATTTAATACATTCCTAACATGCTGTTCAGTTACCAAACAATTTCTTCCACTTTACTACTCGTTTGAGTCCTCAAATTTTCAAGATAGAAACAACGAAACGTTTTTCTCTTGTCGAGCTGAATTGCATCTGGGATGCAGGTATAAGCATTCGTTTGATTGCTCTACCGAACGGTTTTTTGTAATAATGCTCAATTACTCTAAATCTCTGTTTACCACCGCGCTCCGGGACCTGCGGTCCCCGGTTAAAGTCATACCACCACCATCACCACCAGGAGTATACAACGGCAGTGGTGTGATAATTGTTTGTAGCATATACTTTGTATTGTGATGACCATAATTATCGTTACAGAGTGTTTTCTCTTACCGTCGAAACAATCAATCACATTTTGCGTGAAACACTGTAAACAACATGCTCCACTCCTACCCGATTTACCTAAACCCAACAAAAAATAACGACAAAAAACGTCTACCGGCCGACCAAGAGGTCGGCAAAAATTATGTGACTAAACTCCATGGGATTTCTGCACGGATAACGACTGAACCATTTCTATACCAAGGCTTAGGGTCTGTTAGCCGCATACATCCATACAACGAGTACTCAATTCAAGCCTGGAATCCATGGCTGCATCGAGATCGGAGGGCACTCAAACATCCCCAGAAATGGCTACCAAGATGGTCAATGGTCTAAATTCTAAGATCTATGGCGAAAGATTACATCTACTGGGGCTACACTTCTCTCAATATCGTCAAATCAGAGGCGATATGATCTTACTGTATCGATTGTTTTAACAGTCCAACATCCATGTAGATCACTTTTGGTTCTATCAGTCAGTGTTCATCTCAGAGGGCATCCACTGAAGGTGGCACTCCAAATCAGTCGTCTCGACTGCAAACGTCTTTCGCTTGCAGTCAGAGTGCGCAGCACATGGGACTCTCTACCACCTCACGTGGTCTGTGCGCCAACATTAATATCTTTCAAGCGTCAGGTTGATGATGCTCTGGCAAACATTATGTTTCAACACAAAACCACATAATATATTCTCCTGTGTTCATCAAAAACATTACTATTTTACTTACAAGGACCAACTGTGATATTGTGAATCGTGTTCCGAACCAAAGTGTAAACACCCTATTGGATTTGAAAAAGCGAAGTCTTTGTAAATCATATCCCATAATAACAATCTGAATTTGAATTTGATTTGAAAATCGTAGCAATGTGAAAGAAATCAGTCGTGCAAGATGGAGGCTGACCAACTGACTGACCGACGGACTGATTGACTGACTAGACTGTTTTTATTGCAGACAAGCAAACTAGTGATGCTTATTCACAAGACAAAGATACCGAGCCGAATACATTTTGCAGCAGAAATCAGGGCTAATTGGGCGACGAAGAAGCAAACGCTCAATTTTCAAGTGAGCTGTTGCAATCCAAACAATCAATGGCTCACAGCGATTTATTCAGATGTACTGCAGGTCAGGTGACACACACGTTTTTTCCCGACACTCAGATGTTCACAAGAACCAAAGGCTGCTTCAATGCGCGCGCATAATGCCAGTGTTCTACGACCAAAAATGGAACTGTGTGAAACGAAAAGTCAATCATGGTGGTTGTTCACCAGTTAGATCCTTTGCGTATTTCACTGTCTGAGTAATAATGCGATGTATGTGTAAACAAAAATTTGCAACTCGCTTGGTAGTGGATTTAAGTACTGCCTAATGCAGTGTGCGTCGTAAATTCACCTGATTGGGTCTCGTCAGCAGTGAGCGAATCTATCAGGCCCAATGGAGATCGAACCCGGGACCTATGAGCAGACAGTACAGGCAGTAAACTCGGCCACCAGCCGATCAGATCGATTTTCATGTTCCTTATACATGATAGAGGGCAACCCATCTTTGCGCTCAGGTATCGCACCTTGCGCGCAGCTCAGCATCAGCCTGTTGGGTCTGGGACTCAGTTGTAAACATGCCAACCCGTTGACAAAATACATGAAGGAACTGATTCCTGGGCTTTCACTTCACGCTTCGTTCGCTTTTACACGACAAAATTCATCATATAGACAAGCTAAATCATCCCTTTGGTCGAGTGGGATCCAAATGTAGTTAAATGTGAGGAACACTTGTATCACTCGACTGATAAATCTGTAGCACAACGCTATCTCTGAGAGTCCCAAAATGTTCCATCATTTAATGAGATAAATCAGAGTGTATCATTGAAAAAATAACAAAATGTCACTGTATTCTTTGAGGGATGTTCTTTGACTACAACGGAAATAATTATCTTGCAGCCCAATTTCGATTACTTTTGTCGTGAACAGCTTTTTATAGCCATCAGGAGATTTCTGTACCTGAATTAGGACATTGAAATTTGAAACCTGGCGTAGAAAACATCAACAAGATAAAGCAAATTCAACATATAATTATTTGCATTTAAATCCAGTTACTTGTGAGTAGTGCGGTGGGATAATCGTTATTGAGTTAAACTAATCGGGTCCAATGAATGAACTGACTGTCTATCATTGAAGGTAATACTTAACCAAACGTGAATTGATCATTCGGTTCAACCCCTGTATGAGCTGGCTAGCACAGTGGTAATACAAACGTCTTCTACACAATGAGCCCCGAGTTCACATCTAAGACGGTGGGTATGCACTAATGATGAGCTCTAATAAGAGCAAAACTGGAGTCTCTGGTGCTTTCCTATGCACAACTGAAGTAGAGCTATGGTAGAGCTAAGGACTGTGTGAAGTTAAATCTGAAGGTCAGGTCATATCAACATATTCATCGTCTTGCTCTCCCAGTGAGTATTTGTGAACTTAAGGTAGAATAATCTACGGTAAGCACATGAAGTGGTCTCAGGCCATTATCTATGCGCGCCGCGTTCATATACACAGCGTTCCCTTTTGGTTTACACTGTAACTATATGCGAATAATTTCAGATAACTCATTATTTCCTAATCAAAAGCTGAGAAAATCAAGATTGAAAACTGCAAGAACTGTAAATCTCGCACTTAACAAGTTCTCAAATGCACCTATTTCTTATTTAACCTTTAAAACTATCGCGTAATAATGCGCTTCGTTTTGTTGTGACTGTACGAGAAGCCGTCGTTAAATAACTCAATGGTTTATCATATTTTTCACATACAATAATTACTTAAATTTAGTATGGATGATGTCCGATAGTGAAACCTAACTAAGTTCACCGCGGATTCTAGGAGTTTACGGTCGTGGAAATCCCTACGGTGACTAAAGCACAAATAAGACGGGGTTTATAGAAATAAAAACAATCGAAATAGGCGATTTAGTTACGCATGCTTGCATATGACCCAGATTTCTGGATAGATTTTCGCGTCAGACCGTCATCAGAATAGGCCTACTCAATGATGCAAATAATTGGAGAGAAGCGTGACAGCCTGAACGCTTATATCGTTCACCTATTTTCCTATTTTTCCGTTACTTTCGATTGGATTTCGGTCAAAAAGCATGAATAGATGTGTTGTGCATGGTACGCAGTAGTATTTTACGAAGATAAATGACATTTCACGATAATCGCAATTTAATCACAAATCCATACATTGGAGGTTTTCAGTGTTGATAAGAGAAGCGAAAACATTGATTAAACGAGAATGCTTTCGTGGTTTCAAGGCTTTATGACAGTCGATTATGCTACAAATCAGTTTTCTTCCGCCTAATTTCATCTACCGTATCGCCGGAGGTTTTCAACTAACGACATGCCTGAAACCATTTTGTCAAAGCATGAAGCACAAAACGCTTGTGTAGAACGTTTAAAGAACCTCAACCAGCCAACCGACCTCATGAAACTAGATTAACACACTCGTTTATCAACATGGAATAAAGTTTGCGTATTTGGCAACACATCAATCGTCCACAGATTGCGTCGAACAGACCGACTGAATTTGCTGTTTCCACTCGGGGTTTGATGAAGCACACTTAATCGTAAGCGGTTTGACACCGCAAACCCATATGATGCCTGTCGCGAAGTGCAACTGTTGGTGTAAAATGAGGAAAAGAAAACGCATTTGGGAGCCCGAGAGATTTAGAACGAGACCAGTAGAAAATGCATGAAAATTTTATTTTTTGATTAAAAATCAATCATAAATGGGAGAAACTAGGCTAGGTGTTGGGGCAAGTCAATACCTCCAACATCGAATGTAACATCGACCACGCACGCAAACACGAACACACATTCGACCGCGTAAACGTATTCGGGTGATGGTGGGAGTAGAAGCAATCAATTCGTCGTCATCATCCTCATCCGGTAGTTCCTCAACCGTCTCGCGTGCTTGTGATTCTTCTCCACTCTCCTGTGAATCCTCGGTAGTTGTTGATGGCGTTGAAGGCTTTTCAGTTTCCAGTGTTTGCGTTTTTCTCGTACGACCTTTGGAGTGTCTGAATACGAGAGCATCCGATTGTTGCGATAGGAAAAGGAGGGCTACAAATGCAAAGCACAGAACTGCCGTCTTCATTGCAAAAACAGAGTCCCGACAGTTGCACAGTTGTTCCACGTCTGTCCCGAGCCATCGCTGCTGTGCGTAAATTTATACCCATTTTTCAGTGAAGACAATAGTTAGTTTATTTCGTAGATGTTCCTGAATATGAATACATAATTAGTACAAAAACAATGACTGTCTAGCTTTGTGACGAAACAGAGCTTACTTCCGTTTGGAGTTGTTTGGTTTGTTTTGGGTCTTTTCCATACCGCTTTTTTTGTCATTCTGGATTTTGTTCACTTGTCTGATTTAATTCGAGTTTGACGGAGGTAATCTAGTCACCTCACACACATGATCCGCACAATGTGTTTTCTATTCCAGTCATTTCCATATATCTCACGCATGGGTTCTCGTGTAGTTGTGTGAAATGGGTCACGAATGTGGTTTGCAAATCGGTGAACCTATGGTTCATACGACTTCACAAATATTTAGGTTTCAGATCGTCCTACTCAAGTGATAGATTTTTAGAGTCTTATTCTTTACTTGTTGTATGCTTTTAAACCTTCCCGAAGTGCAATCAATATAATCTATAGAAGCTCCCAAAAGTATAATACTGTCTTATTTTCCGAGGCCATCCACAGTTTGTTCATTCGTTGGTGAACTCGAGCTAAGCAGAAAGGCCAGTCCAAACTCGTCGTCCGTTATTAGTGTGCTGAACATGAGTGCAAGTATACTCTGACCTATCTGTTGATAACGGCAACGCCAGAGTAGGAAGAAGTGTCCATGGTTGCCTGTTTTGGCGACGGGATGCGTGCAGTTTTCAGGTGCCTCATTCGCACTTAACGTAGACGTTCGACGGAGCGAAGGAAGCTTAGAGTCCATGCTGATCATACCAATTCTTGTCTGATTATCAAACTCGAGTCGGTGGGGCCTTCAAACTTCGACCATACTACATATGTGCTCCACTTGATGATTTGTCAAAATTTATGTCACATATTGGACTTAATTTTTTGAATAAAATTTGTTTCATTGCTTTTATAGGCAATCACAAGATTGCCTATGCCCCGGAATCTTTAAAAAATTGGAAAATTTACTTTTTGTCGGGAAGGAGTGGCGTTCTTTATCATATCAGCNTCAGCTGACAAGTTAAAAATATATACGAAAAATGCAGATACTCTAGGTCAGGTTTCCTCAGAAAGCACCAACGAGGCTGGCAAATTGCTTTGCGCAATACAAAACCTCATAAAATATCTCTCCTTGGTATTTGTTCACCAAACGTACCATCAGTATTTCGAAAAACTGGACGATGGTGGTCCAATGATAACGCCGCCAAATTATCACCCCGGGGAACGTATCTTCGAATCCCACAACCACCATCTCCTTGTGTGTTGTATGGCAGCCGTTTGCTGGATCGCTTTCCGCTTCTCAAAATTGCATCACTGAGCATTAACTAAAAGGAAGTAAATATCCAAAAGAAAAAAGTAAACTTCACCTTATGGTTAGTGATGATTGTAACCATACCGATGTTCTTTTCTTGACTCGTTTTGCACTTCACAATCTTGTGAATTTCCCCATCAGAGGAAACTAGCAGCTTTATTCTTTGTTTTCGAACAAAACTGGTCTGTTTGTTGTGCGAAGAAGAACTCCTCTGGCAAACCCCGAGCATTTTATCACTAATATTTTGCCAAAAGTCTACTCAAAGAAACATCATAGAACACTGACACGTACATCTATTCGGAAGATTTTTCATAGGCTGTGCAACCTGGCCCAGATGGCATCACTGAGAGAAATGGACTCTCGTACAAATTTTGATCAGTTCTTTGACCCAAGCGCCTCGGTCGGGTGTAAACAACTCATTAGCTATCTGAACTTCTCCTTTGTCCTCTGCCACCCCAAGGCCCCACCAGATTTTCCTCTCCCGCTTTGAAGACCTTCAGAAGAATCCAAGAAGGCGCATATAAAAATCGTGACCCAGCTTTTGCTAAACAAACGTCAGTGCATATCAAGACAGATCGAAAATCTTGACAGACTACATTGAAACCCTACTTGGTGACCGGAATGGCAAAAAAATCTGGAGTGCTATGGAAAAGCTCTGTGGAACATGAGTCAGACTAGGCGGATCTAAACCCACGGCTAACTCAACTGCATGTTTTCCACGTCAACTGAAACTAAAATATCGTATCCATATTTCCAATCACTTGACCGCCGTAAACTTTTCCATGTCAAGCAGTTGCGGACACAGTTGATGTGCCTGAAAACATCGAAAGCTCCCGGTCTCGACGAACTATTTCCAGCTGTCCTCAGGGAAAGATCGTATTAATAACATTATTCCTAACACTGGGCAGCTAGATGAGAACCAATTCGCTTATGACAAACAACGTTCTACTTTGAACGACGTTGCGCAAGTGGTGAATTCAGATTTGCAATCCATAGACATATATGATACCGCATTTCATGTGTTTCCTTGACTATAGTAATGCATTTAATTGTGCCGACAAGGGAAGGCTCTTGTTTCTAATCCAGGGTACTGTATTGTCCAATACTACCGGCCGACGACGAGGTCGGCCAAATTACATCCCTAAACTTCAAGGGATTTCTGCACCGACAACGACTGAACTATTTCTATACCAAGGCTCAGGGTCTTTTCAGTAGGTTTCCAGAAGTGGAACTACGTTGTCGGACCGGTCGATGGGATCTCATTGCAGTAACCGAAACCTGGTTGACGACCGACATCTTAGACTCCGAGCTGCGATTACCGGACATGGAGCTATTGAGGCGTGATCGTCCAACGCGAGGTGGGGGTGTGCTGCTCTATCGTCATATAGGGCTTGCAATGTAAGCAGATTGAGTGCTCTTTCACTGCCTCAGACACGTTATGGTGTAAATTGAAGCTAACGCAACATGATAACGGGCTGATCGGTGTGGTTTATCGCTCTCCTTCGTCATCAGATTCATCAAATGAGACTTTGTTGGAAACAATATCTTACTTCTTGTCATTGAAATTCACCCACGNCCATTTGAACGTCATCTGAAGCAGTTCATCCAGTCACATCCGTTGTACAATCATGTGATGGAACCCAACAGGTTTGGAACCAACCAAATTTCGTAAACTTTGGATCTAGTACTGACAAATGAAGAATTGATGGTCGAATCAATTGCAATCGCAACTCCGTTGGGGCGCAGTGATCACGCTGTATTATTGTTCGAATATGTTTGCTATGCATCAGTAATAACAGCATCTTCGGATGGCCTTCGCATCGTAACTGACTATGTGGGACTAAACACCCCGGCTCATGGAATCCAGTGGATCTCCCCTGATATAGGCTGCAATCCTCTGGAATCCTGGCGAAAATTTACTAACGTCATCACGACATTGGTGGCCGCTGTTACAACCGTCAACCGACTGTTCGAAAATTAGCAATTTGCAGTCGAACTAGGTAATGGATAATGCAAAGGGACTTTCACTGGAGGGAGTTCAAACGCTGTCCATGCCCCAGCACTTGGGAAGCTTACAGGCTCATTCGGAACCACTGTACAAACTTGGTGCGGGAAGACAAGCACACCTATCATGATGTAGTGGAGAGGAAGTTTATCGCAAACCCCAAGCTATTATATAAGCATGTAAACGCTTCCCGGAAAGTCAAACACGGCGTTCCAATACGAAAATCAGCAGAACGTGTTTCAGCGACAACCAAGGAGGCTGCAGAAATGCTGAGGCTGCAGTACTCTCAAGCGGTCAAAGCGTCTCGTAACACTGGTTTTGTACATCCCCGTTTGCTGCAACATATTCCTTTCACATTACTTGAAGAGGAACTTATCACTGAATTTGGATAACAGTCATCTAGATGTCTTTATCACCCTGGCAAGTTACATCGATCCTTTAAGTGAGCAATACAAAAATCTGTTTGATGATACCATGCTTCCTCAGGTGTGGAAAAACGGTGTCATTCCACCAATTTACAATGCCGTAGTGACCCAGAAAAAACCTGACCGATCACGCTCCTATCAGTGTTGTCCAAAGTCATGAAATCTATTGTTCCAGATACTGTAATGGATCGTCTGGAGAAAAATGGCTTACTGTCCCCAGCCCAGCACGGGTTTAGAAAAAATCGTTCATGTGCAACTAACTGGATTTTGTCTCGCAACGATTGAACTCATGCTGTAGACTAAGGCAAACAAGTAGATGTTATTTCTCTGGACTTTTCTAAAGCCTTTGACAGGGTAAATCATCAAATACTGATAAGGAGCTGTATAAATATGTAATTCGTGGACTCGTACTTGACTGGATCGAGGAGTTTCTTCGTCTACATACCATGTCAGTTCGTGTTTCTGATTCACTTTCACCGTAGGGTTCCACAGGGATCTGTGCTAGGCCCACGTCTTTTCCTTGCCTTTATAAACGATCTTCCTCGGACTAAAAACCCTACTGCTTGTAGACGATGACAAAATATGGAGGACAATAACAAAAACAGTAGATTAATTTGATCCCTGGAACTCACTTGAAGAGTCCCGCAGAAACTTTTCTTTTCTGCTATGGGGAAAATGCTCGAGAACCCAGTCTGGGACTGTCCTGGAAGGCGTGATATGAAGCGAAGACCCATTTGTGTATAGACAGTCACGTGCCTCACTATGTCATCACTGAGGAGTGACAGAGAACGCAGTCAGTGTGTAAAATATTTGATCGAACTCGAGCAACTTGAGTCTCCTTTGGAATAAAAAAAGAACACCTTACTTTACACATCATAGCTGCAAATCGGTATCTCTGAGTGATGAGCAATAATTTAAAATATATCTATCGCTGCAATATTCTTAGTTCGCTTGTATCATCGTTTAAATTTACACAACCTTGATTGTAGCGATAACAATTTGAGTACAATCAATCTCCTGCGCCCCTGAAAAGTTGCATTTTCCAATATTTTCCCACTGTTTTTGGAAAACCCAGACCGTTTGTATGCGTAATTACCTAGTTTCTGATTATGTGATGTCACCCAGCTCAATATGTTGCAGTTCTTGACATCCTCTCAGTTGGTCGTTGA